GGGGCCTGAACTCTGGGCCTGGGCGCTGTCCCTCAGCTCTTCAGCTCAAGGCTAGCGCTCTACCACTTGAGCCACAGCGCCACTTCCGGCTTTTTTTCCTGCTTATGTGGTGCTGTGGAATCGAACCTAGGGCCTCAAGCATGCAAGGCAAATGCTCTACCACTGAGCCACCTTCCCAGCCCCATACTTTTCTTTAAGATAGGCTCTCACTAACTTTTTTCCTCTGGTTTGTTCTCAAGCTGAAATCTTCCTCTTTGTTTCTCAAATAGCTGGAATTACAGGTGGGCGTCACTATATACAACTATATTTGTGTAGCCCATGAGGCTGACACTACTTTTTCTGATACCTTTCAAATTTCATCCCAAGCAGCTGGCCTGGTAGACCTCATCATGGGAAACAGCTGCTCACTCATAGTCTTTTCTTCTTATCACAGAAGCCAAGGGAATGAAGGTTCTCATCCGAATCCATTTGTTAGCCTCTAGTTTAGGACTATTTGGCATGCTTATAGGAATGGTCAGGGGCATCTATGGGAGGGAAGAAGAAGCTGGTAAGTCATCTAGAAAGGTGGTAAAGGAAATCTAGGAGGTTCCTATGTCCTTTGACTTTTGTCCTGAATTCTGTCTTTCTACATTGAGAGAGCCAGCCCTGCCCCCCCCCCACTTCCTCCTGAAACTACCCAAGGTCAAACTTATTTGTCCAGGATTCTGTCAGCTCCTGATCTGCCCTCCATACCTGTCGCAGGCTGAGCGCATCGAAGGTAATATTCTCTTAACTATTACCTCCCCTTTGACACCATGGGTGCCCTAAATCCTCATGGCTGAAATCACTCCTGGGTTAGCCTCAGCCCTGACAGGCTAGCCCAAACCATTCTATCCAAGACTCTCCCGGGTCACTACCCCAAGAAAGCCCCCTACATAATCCATCTCAGAGCTATCTCAAGACTCTATGCTGGGCTATCTCAAGACCTCTTTAGGCAAACTGATAGAGGATGGTACCCGATGCTGCCCTGGTACTTTCCTTGATTTGGGAGGGGAGAATTGGTTCTAGAAAGAGACAGAGGAGCCACCTCTGGCCATTCCCCTCTGCCTGGGTCACCTGCACTATCGCTAGGGAACAGTTAGGTAACGCTCCACACCCCTTGCCGCACCCCACTTCACATTCCAGCCCCTGGGTCCTGCCAGGCCCTGGCTGCTTCCACACCCACTTCCTGCCCTGCTGCCAGCCCGCAGGGGTTGGGTTCTACCCCATCATTACCTCCTAATCCGGCCCGATTCCCACCAGGCTCTTTCTCTTCCTAATCCTGCTAATGTGAGGTATCCACTGCCTCTGGGGGTGTTAGAGGGCAGGGAGGAGGGAGGAGGGCCCTGTCAGGGACTCTTCCTAAGCACTTTTCCTGAGCAGGGCCACAAATAGGCTGAGCACCGACCTGTGGGCATGTGTCATGGCTCTCGACAGGGCCAGGCACCAGACTTCCTGTTCCCATGGCCACGTTCCCGACCTGGCCCATCCTGCTGAACACAGTCAGGAATGAAATATGGTTAGCGTTAGAGAGAAACTGATGTGATCTGGCCTGCCTCTCTGCCTGCCTGCCTGCCTGCCTGCCTGCCTGCCTGCCTGCCTGCCTTTCTTCCTTCCTTCCTTCCTTCCTTCCTTCCTTCCTTCCTTCCTTCCTTCTTTCCTTCCTTCCCTGAGACAGTCTTCCTATATAGCCCAGGCTGACCTTGAACTTGAGATCCTCCTACTTCAGTCTCCAGAGTGCTGGAGACTGAAAAAGCCCAGCTTTTAATGTGTGTGTTTTATTTTTTATTACTAAACAGATATATATTAGACATGCAATACTAACCACTTCTCAGATATTTTAGAATACTTCAAAATAATCCCACGCCCTCCATTAGCCTTACATTTCCATGAAGGGGGTGGGCAGTAACCAGAAACCTGAGGCTTGAACTCAGGGCTTGGACACTCTACCACTTGAACTACAGCTCCACTTGTGGTGTTTTGGTGGTTCATTGGCGATAAGAGTCTCACAGACTTTCCTTCCCAGGCTGAGTTGGAACACAATCCTCAGATCTCAGCCTTCTGAGTGGTTAATATTTCAGGCCTGCAGTGCCCAACCCATGAACTATGGGGTGTCTTGGGGCCCCACAAGATTAATTTTCCCTCCCTGGAAACAAAGATCCTAGGGAAGGAGCCTGCCCTGGCACAAGCCCCATAGCTACACCCTCTCCAAGTAAGGTCCTCAAGTGGTGTTTACCAACTCTTTTGACAAGCTCCCAGGGGACCATGGTGACAATCGCCACAAAAACAAACCATCGTAGTAGACAGAGCTGCTTGCTGGGTCCGCCCTCCTTCTAGGACATTACGAAGCCATGTTAAAGGGTCACCCCGGGGCCCCAACGTCCGGCACATTCCTGTTCACCCAGATTTCCATTTCCAATCTCTCTCTTTCTTTCTTTGATTGCTGGTACTGAGGCTTGAACCAGAGCCTGAGCGCTGTACTTTAGCTCTTTTTGTTCAAGGTTTGTTGCTCTACCACGTGAATCACAACTCCACTTTTGGCTTTTTTTTTTTTTTTGCCAGTTCGGGTACTTGAACTCTGGGGCCTGGGCGCTGTCTCTGAGCTTCTTTTGCTCAAGGCTAGTGCTCTACCACTTGAGCCCCAGCACCACTTCCAGTTTTTTCTGAGTAATTTATTGCAGGTAGGAGTCTCATGGACTTTCCTGACTGGGCTGGCTTTGAACTGTGATTCTCAGATTTCAGCCTCCTGAGTAGCTAGGATTACAGGTGTGAGCCACTGATGCCCGGCTACTTATGACTTATTTTTGATGGTTAATTGGAGATAAATGTTTCACAGACTTTCCTGACCAGGCTGGCTTTAAAACAGGATCCTCAGCTCTCAACCTTCTCAGTAGCCAGGATTTCCAACCTTTCTGACGAATGGTTTGGATGGCCTCCTGACAAAGTTTTGTTGATTTCCCCCTTGACAAATCAGTAGAATCCATTTTATCATTACACCACAGCACAATTTCATTAATAATCTTTTAATACATGTACAGTCATGTATAGCAAACAGTAAGGAGTCTTCAATTGATAACCTGGCCTTTCCTCAGGACCAAATACCCTGCGGTTACCCACTCCCTATTCCTCAGCCTGGATGGCTTCCCCCCAACCTGGACCCCCCCCCCATATCCTTCAGTGGAGTTTTCTTAGGCAAAACTCACTTTACTCTCCCTGTCCAAATCAGGTTTCCTCACTGGATGTTTCCCCCAGAATTCAGTTCCTGGCCACACAAGCAACACATGTAACATCACCACTGGCTAATTAATGGGTCATCAGAATCATTTCTGCCTCTCTCCCCAGGAGCAGTCTTGGGTCAGCTCAATAGCTCTGGTATTCCAGGCCTGCAGTGCTGGTACTAGTTAGAAACTCAAATGAACAATGAAGACTTAGATGGGTAGATAAAGAAACAAACTTTGGGTAAGTCAGCAGGACCCTCTTTCTGGGTATCTTCTGTTTTGTTTGTTTTGCTGGCACTGGGGTTTGAACTCAGGGTCTCATGCTTGCTTGGATGGCTTGTTTGCTTGCTTGGCTGGCACTCTACCATCTGAGCCATGCCTCCAACCTAGCTTTTGGCTGGTTATTTTGCAGTTAGACTCTCTCAAACTTTTCTGCTTGGGCCAACTTTGAATCACTGTCTTCTAGATCTCAGCCTCCTGAGTCACCTAAGCTTTTTTTTGGGGGGGCGGGGTTCATTTTTGTAAGACATTGACAGTGTACATTTGGACAGGATGGTTGAGGATCCATGGCATGCCCTGCTGGGTTCTCAATGTGTCCCTGCTCCCCTTGCGAGAGAGAAGATTCTGTGGTTAGATCGCGGGACGTCTGCCTGCGGAGCTGTTGTCCTTGCTGTTATAACGAGGAAAGAGCGAATTGAAAATGGGTGATGTTGAGAAAGGCAAGAAGATTTTTGTTCAGAAGTGTGCCCAGTACTACACTGTTGAAAAGGGAGGCAAGCACAAGACTGGGCCTAATCTCCATGGTCTGTTTGGTCGGAAGACGGGTCAAGCAGCTGGATTCTCTTACACAGATGCCAACAAGAACAAAGGCATCACCTGGGGAGAGGATACACTGATGGAGTATTTGGAGAATCCCAAAAAGTACATCCCTGGGACAAAAATGATCTTCGCTGGCATTAAGAAGAAGGGAGAATGGGCAGATTTGATAGCTTACCTCAAAAAAGCTACAAATGAGTAATAGCCACTGCCTTAGTTATTTATTGCAAAACCCCAATGTCTCATGGCTTTTTAATGTGTACCATAATTCAATTGATTTCTAATATCAGATTTCAGATCATGAATGGCTGGCAGAATATTTTTAGACAGTCCTAATTTAAGTAAAACTGGCTTGTGGCTAAGTGAATATGATCTTTAAAAAAATAGTCACTTTTTTCCCCCTTCTGTCATATGATTGGACTTACTAATGTTCAGTTTTTCAGCAAGGTAGGGAATAATACCATCTCCAAATCTGTTAAAGATTGGTTTTATATTCAGATTTATATGGCTAATTATGAGAACATCATTAAATACTGAGGAAACCCCTTTACTGTCTCAGAATCAAGTAAAGCTAACCTGTTAAAGGTAATGGCTGAAGATGAAGAACAATGTCTATATTTTTGGTCCTGACTACACCAATTTAATTAGAATTACCTTTCTCTGAAATCTGCCTTTTACTTATTGAAAGGCATTTTAGTATGGCTTGTGTATAAATGTCAAATAAAGAATATTTAGCACTTGTCACATTTTATAGTTGGTCTATAAGCACAGATGCTTTTAAAAGTGACTGATAAGATACAATACGGACTTTATTTTTGAATTCTTTACTAAGACAGACCAAGTTATAATTCTGAATTTTCTTAATGCAGCTGTTCAGAAACACAAAATTAATTATGGAACTGCTGTGTATGTGTGACTGATAGTGGTGCTTTTGCCAACTTCTTAGAGAAAAAGTTTCAGGTAGAGGAGATAATTTGTAAATTATGTGGCCATGAGACAAGATAATTAAAGATAAATATTACATGAAAAAAAAAAAGATTCTGTGGTCACTTCCACAAAATAGCCACCTTGGTGACCATTGCTTAAATATGCAGTATGCTATGGCAGCTCTAGAATTCAGAGCTGCTACCCTGGTTGGCACATGGCTACTTGGTGGCAGAGAAGTCCTGTGCTGGGGCCTCAGGAAGGCCTTGTGCATGGGGTAGAGTGGTTTGCTATCAGGCTATGTTGATGGAGGAAATTGGCTGTGGGTGGTCAGAAGGTCAAGGTCAATTTCAAGTCTAGTAACCTGTAGTTTTTAGGCAATAACATGTAAAGCCTACTCTGAAACTTTTTATTTTGGTTGTGGGGCTTGAACTCAGGGTCTGGGTGCTATTCCTGAGCTCTTTTTGCTCAAGGCTAGTGCTCTACCACTTTGAACCACAGAGCCACTTCTGGTTTTCTGGTAGTTAATTGGATATAAGAGTCTCACAGGCTTTCCTGGCTGAGCTGGCTTTGAACTGCAATCCTTAGAATTCAGCCTCCTGAGTAGCTAGATTACAGATGCCCGGCCACTGAAATATTTTGATTCCGGGTCATGACAAGAGATGAGCTTAGTAAATCTGCCACAGGATCCTCCCAAGTGCCACTAGCCACACCCCCAAGGCTGCTGAGGATTGTCCAAAAGCAGCCCTGGGAAACCTGGGTTCCTTAGCTGATGGAAATGCCTATCCCATCTCAGATTCAGGGGCAGTCCCTGGACTGAGGGATGTCCCCCGACTCCTGCCTGACAGACAGCCCCAAGCCATCAGAGCCAGCACAGCCAGATTTGTTTTTTTTTTCTTGCCAATCGCCTTCCACACCCCTACCACAGCCAGCTCTGAGGGTCACCTGAGTCTAGTTTTGTTAAGACAGTGGAATTCCTGTGCAGACTAACCATGAAGGGACTTGGAGATCCCAAAGTTTCCACGCAGTTCTCCCAAAAGACGTCTGCTTTCAAGCATCATCATGTTCTTCCCTTAAAATATATATGCGGGGGACTGGGAAGGTGGCTCAGTGGTAGAGCGCTTGCCTTGCATGCCTGAGGCCCTGGGTTCGATTCCTCAGCACCACATAAGCAAAAAGAAAAAAGTAGCCTTGTGGCTCAAGTGGTAGAGCGCTAGCCTTGAGCTGAAGAGCTGAGGGACAGCACCCAGGCCCAGAGACCAACCATATATATATATATGGGTGTGTGTTTGTGTGTGTGTGTATATATATATATATATACATATACATATATATATATGTATGTATGTATGTATGTATTTGGAAGTTCCTATTATTGTGCGGTTGGGGGGAACCAGGGCAGTGAAGGGGAGGAGTCAGATTTCCTGCTCATGAAGCCCCTGGCCGGAAGCCCATGCTGAACTGGCTTCTGGGAGGGGCCAGGTGAGACACATGACCTCTGAGCTGGAGATGAAGGCCCCAGGTGATGGCTTCATTGCGTCCACATCAGCGTCAACTCACACCCAGGCACCATCTGCTCAGTTAAGTGCAGTCCAACCTGCCGCTGGCATGGTTCTGCACCCAGAGCTGTGGGACAACCAGCCTTCAAGAGGCCACGTGCAGAAGCCCTGGCCAACCAGCTCTGGGGTGACCTGGAGAAAAGATGTTGGCAGCTGGCTTTCCACTGTCCCATTAGTGAGGCACAAAGAGAAAGGAAATATGGGTGATTCTCCAATTCCCCAACGGCAAGATCATTGGATGGAAGACTCAGCCTTTACCCAATCATCTCTGAGGGTGGGCGTGGCTTCCCTCCTGGTATCTAAAGGTTATCAAAGGTGGGAGAACACGATTGGCTGGGCCTTGATGCTAGAACATGATTGGCTGGGCCTTCATATTCAGCTGGAACCTGGATGTTTCCCACCCCTTTGTCCTCCCTGCTGCCTGGGGGGGAGGGGGGAGGGGGGCGTGTCCATCCCTGGTGACTTCCTAGATGGAGTGAACAAGGGTCCCCTGCTCTTCTCAGACTCCAGGAGAGCCTGAGGTTTGTGCACTGCCACCCCATCAACCTGGGACACCAGGCACGAATGAACCTTGGGATGGTGGACATTGTCAGGAAGACACCAAGGCCTTTCTGCAGGCAGGACCCTTCCTCAGTGGACCCGAACTTGTCCTCAATCTCCTTCTGTAGGAACCAGGGGTGAGGTGCTTGTGCCAATCTTCAGGGTGGCCTAGATATCATTCATCCCCCTTTCCTGCTTGGCCACTGTGCCAGATATACCCTGGAGCAGGCTGAGATGAAGATGCAGGGCAGGGTAATTGGCTGTCTGTGGTCACCTTTAAGCATGCTCCTGGCCTGAGGGGGGAGGGGAGGGGCAAGGAGGGGAGGGGAGGGGCTGGAGGGTGCAGACATGGAGGCCGTTAGGGTATTCACTGGACTGGGGATGGTCCCGTGGCCTGGAGACCCCGCAGCTTCTCCTCACAGGCCTTGTCGGGGAGCAGCACCTCCACGGTGTAGCTGACCTTCTTGGAGTGCATCAGGCTGTAGGTGTTGTCGAAGCGCAGGACGTCTGTTAGGGATGAACCAGGGATCAGGTGGAGCCAGTTCTGCACAGGTTCACACCTGGGGCCCTAGAGAATCGCCTGTCCAGGGCTGACCTGAGCACCAGCAGCAGCTGAGAACCCCAAGTCCACTGTCGGCTCTGCTGCCCTCTTGGAGGCTCTGTGGACAACCTAAAGCCAGCGTGTGGTGTGACTCTATACCTCAGCGTGTCACAGCTCCCCGATCCTCAGAGCCCTTCCCCATAATGGAAGGTACTGGACTTTGGACAGGTATCTTCCCTGCTCCAAAGATCCAGTAGGAAAGGCTTGGTCTCCGGGATAGTGCTATTAGAAGGTGCTGGAACCTTTAGAAGGTGGGCCCTTGAAGAACATCTTTAGGCCATGGGGTGGGAAAGAGTCACGCCCATGAAGGGGACTGTGGAACTCTGACCCCCCCATTCTCTTTCTTCTCGCTTTGCTAGAGGCTCCCAAACCACCAGGTCAATCCATCATAGATTGGAGCTTCCAGAACTTGTGAGCCCCCAAATGAACCTTCCTTCTTTCTCAGTTAATCCTCTCAGGTATTTTGCTATAGTACTGGGCGGCTGACCATGACAGTGGGCATTGCTGCTTCTGGTAATACTACCTGGACTGTCTCTGGCTGGGGAGGCCCTGGGAGGCCAAGGCCACACAGCTGCAGGAAGCCTGGTCTTGGGGTGGTGGCTTCATACTAACTCCACAGCTGCTCACTCACCTGTCATTTAGCATGAAGAACCTGGTGTGGAGGTTTCCTAGGCGCTGATTCCCATAGCCTGGGCTCTGAACCCTGCTTTGCCTTCCACAATGTGTCTCTGTCTTTGTATCCACATGCAGAAGTCATTCATAGCCCTAAGATCCTAAAGCCAACACCCTTGGAGAACAGGGACTGCCCCCCCCCCCGCCACAACCTCCCCGAGAGCTAGGATTGAAGGTCACCCAGAGAGCCTGGGCTGCAAGACATGATCAGCTGTTTCTCTCCGGTCACCAAAGCAAACAGAAAACCCAACATCACTCCAGAAAAATCACAGCTCTTACAGACGCCGGCTTTGAGGCAGGTAAGGCTCCCGTCCTCGGGCACCATGTGGGCATTGTAGCGCTGGCTGGCCAGCACCTCGGTCATCTCTGCAGCCTTCTGCCGGCCCCCCATCTTGGTCTTCAGGAAAACCCCGAAGCCAATGTCGCCGCCATCTGATGAAAACTGCCACCTGCAGTGAACAGAGCTCCACTGACCACCTGCCCGGGTTCGGCTGCCCCCCGACACCGTGTGTGTGTGTGTGTGTGTGTGTGTGTGTGTGTGTGTGTGTATGTGTGTGTGTGTGAATCCTGGGGCTTGAACTCAGGGCCTGGGCGCTGTCCCTGAGCTCTGTTGCTCAAGGCTAGCTTTACACCACTTTGAGCCACAGCGCCACTTCTGGTTTTCTGGTGGCTCATTGGAGATAAGAGTCTCATGGACTTTCCTGCCCAGGCTGGCTTTGAACCAGGATCCTCAGATCTCAGCCTGCTGAGTTGCTAGGATCGCAGGCAGCGGCCATCCCTACCTGAGCACACAGCCTGGGAACAGGATCTCGTGCTCCACGTGCTGTGAGGACGCTCGGCCCACACACGCCACGTGCTCATACTGCATCTTCACTTGCTTGCACACGTAGTACTTCTGGGGAACATCACCCCCATAATTGATCTGCACGAGAGACAAGTGAGCGAGCACAGGGCCACCGCTGTCCCTCCCTTCCCAGACACCCCCCCGACACCTTGTACCTTGCTCAGACATTTGGGGTTGCCATCAGGATCAGTCATGGTCCCCCCAAACTCCACAGGAAGCTGGTCGGGGCTGATAAAGTTGTGCAACTCCCATTTCCAGTTGTCTGCAATGGGAGCAAGAGGGGGACTCAGGGAGGAGAAAGGGGGGGCTCTGAAGGACTCGGGGGGACTCCTGGGAAGGGAGGAGGCTCTGGGCCAGGGAGGCAGGGCGCTCAGGGAGGCTGACAGAGAGGAGGTGGATCTCTAGGGTTTGGGGGAGACTGGGCAAAGAGGGAACAGGTTCCAGGGGGGGAATTTGATGGCCCCAATGATCTACAGCTTGCTGGCCTGGCTGTCAGCCCAGGGTCTGGGCCAAGGCAGGATCAGGGAATGAAGAGGGAGACTGGGGCAAAAATGGGGCACGCAGCCTACTTCCTCCCACGCAGATGCCAAGATGAGCCTGGCCCACGAGGGCACAACACTCACCTCCCAGAATCACAATCTTCTTCTGGGTCACCTCGCCCATGAACGACTTGACCAAGTTGAAAGCCACGGGGAAAAGCCTGGGGGCTGAGACCCATGAAAGTCCCTTGGGAGGCTGGACTAGAGACCACCCAGGTCCATAAAGCTGCAGCCCAGGGTCTGTGCTTGAGGGATGTTGGATGAGGGTCTGGAGTCTGTCATTCCCTGCTGTGTGACTTTTAGCTAGTGACTCACCCTCTCTGAGTCTTCGTGATGTTAGGGGGGTGAAGTGTCAAATGAGGGGTGAAATCATGCTGGTGGCACAGCACCCAGCTCTCAAGAAACCCTTTGCAAGGTGTCGGGTACAAGGTGGATCTAAGGGCAATGATGGCAACTCCAAAATAAAACCTCTTCCTTTCCACACTCAAGATTTTCCCGGGTAGCCCTGAAATCTCTTGGGGTATAAGCAAATGGGGAGTTCCCTTTAGAACCCCTGTCCCCTGCTGAATTTTGGCCCTCTCCACAGAGTGGCTGATTTAACATGTGTCTCATAGGGCAAAAGGTCCTCGTGGCCCCATTTCACACAGTGAAGAAACTGAGGCTCAGTGGATGCAATGGGTTTGCTCAGAGTCACAGAGCTTGTGAGAGTTAAACCCAGATCATATGATTCAGGGCCATAGGAGACAGGTGTATTTGCTAGTCAATATGGCACATGGATCTTCTTTTTTTTTGGATCCGGTCGTGGGCCTGAACTCTGGGCCTGGGCACTGTCCCTCAGCTCTTCAGCTCAAGGCGAGCGCTCTACCACTTGAGCCACAGTGCCACTTCCGGCTTTTTTCTTTTTGCTTATGTGGTGCTGAGGAATCGAACCCTGAGCCTCAGGCATGCAAGGCAAGCGCTCTACCACTGAGCCACCTTCCCCGGCACATGGATCTTCTGTTACCAAGAAAATAACAGCAAATATTGGCAGTCCTGGGGCTTGAACTCTGGGCTTGGGTGCTATCTCTGAGCTCCTTTTTGCTCAAGGCTAGTGCTCTACCACTTTGAGGCACAGTGTCCTTCTAGCCTTTTCTGTGATTAATTGGAGATAAGAGTCTCAAGGAATTTCCTGCCTTGCCTAGCTTCCAACAATGATCTTCAGATCTCAGCCTCCTGAGTAGCTAAGATTGGAGGCATGAGCCACTGGAACCTGGTTAGGATTTTGAATATTATATTTTTTTGGGGGTCTGGTCATGGGGCCTGAACTCTGGGCCTGGGCGCTGTCCCTCAGCTCTTCAGCTCAAGGCTAGCGCTCTACCACTTGAGCTAC